AGTCGTACTCCATTTTCATGGGAAATTTCCACGACGCATGCCCTCGCCCTCCTTTCCCTGACGCCAGTCGTGAGGTGCGGTGCCGTCTTACGGCTGCGTGCTACCGTGTCCCTGACTTCTTCCAACGACTTTGGAGACATCTGCTGTCGTACCAAGGTTGACATTTACGTGCACACGTCACGTTTTAGTGTACGAAAATGAAATGTGTTTGTTTTAGAAGGAGCCACTTACAGGACGGGACCACAAAATCGAAGATGGAAATGGCTCATCGCAATTTCATGGACGTCCCAGATCATTAGAACCGCTCAGGGAGTGAGCAACTCATGACGCTAAATAAGTATTACGAAATAGGTTCGGAAATTCGTTCCTACATGATCGTTGTGAGGAACGATACTTATGACGTATTTAGGCACTTTAAATAGCTTCGTTGAACGAAAGAAGCGCCCGGAACTAAACAGATGGCGTCTACCCGTGCCTATCCCCAAGGTCCAACCATCTACAACTGCAGTAATTACTATACTAACCAGAAAACTGTCTAAAAGTATTCTAGGAAAAAGGGTTTCCAAAAATAATCAGAAATAATCTTATGTGCCTCATTGCAATTGCAATTTTCGTAGATTTCCCGTGCGTAACTGAAGATTCCTTAAAGTTTCTTTTAAAATAAATGAATATGTAAATCCAGTTACAAATGCTTTAATTTTTTATACATTTGTATCCTCTCACTGACAAAATTTTCCCAAATTTGATTTTACGACGAAAATCATCTTCAGTGTCGTCTTGCGCGTTCCTGGAGAGAAAGTGATAGGTCTGCACCATCCTCCGCTTTGCAACCAACGTTAGTAATTAATCAATTAACCAACCTACCATCCAAGCAACTCTTTATTACGAGTATTAAAGAACACATGTTCATCACTTCACAAACATCCTGACGTGTATTCAGACGCAATTAGAAGTAATGTGGCATTTTATGATCGAGGTTTCGTGCTTAGGTTTCTCAGCTGTGACTGACAAGTGTACAGGCTTCCACAAATCAGATACTGTAAAACGAGTGTTAAGTCACGCTGCACCACTTAAATGACGCCAGCTGTTTTATTACACTCGGTACTTATTTTGTTTAGGGAGGATTTTTACTTTGTTGACCGGTTCCACCGCTCTACGCTTCACGGCAAGCGGCACGCCGCTTGACGAGAGGCGCATACGAATTTTCTGCTGAAGCAACATGCCTGACAGCCGATAACGTTCCGAATGAAGGGAAGAAATTAACTTGCTGACCGCTTGACGACACTATGTTTCACGAAAAGCAGTACGGTACACGCGTGGGAGTTTGTTTATGATTTGCCAGCAGTAGGCAACAGTCATTAGCTCCATTAGCCATTTATTCTCAGTTACAGTTGGTGGGCAGTGTGATATGTCATAATGCGGTATGCTTCAAAGCAACGTGTATTTCTGTATGCTATCTATGCGAAGTAGGGATCTTCTAGTAAGTGTAGTCGAAAATTTCAACGTAAATTTCTTGATGAAAGAGTTCCCAGCAGACAAAAAGTTCACAATTTTGTGAATAAACTTAGAACAACTTTTATTAAAATTATTTCAGTTGTGTGGGCATTGTCAAATAACATACAAATATATATAGAGCGATCCAAAAACATATTTCAACATACAAAATGATTCAGTTAGGAGGGAAGTATTGTACAATAGTCTAATAGATTTAAGGTCTTTCATTCTGGTCCGTCACACAAGCATCACAACACACAGACAAGCAACATCAACTACCTACAGACAACACACGTCAGCAACACCCCGAAGCAAAAAGATTGGGCCAAGCGGGAAAGAATTCTAGGAATTTTAAGAATTCTTACTTCAAATAATGAAACATAATTTTACAGAAGTAACGACGAACAAATAAGAAAGCTACTGTGGTGTGTGAAAAACTTTTAGTGAACCGATACTCTGGGTAATTTTAACTATTTGTAATTATTTTAATTAACTGGAACGTGGTTATCTTTGACAAAGTGAAGTTTTGTGTGTTGGTGATNAATTAAACGGGACACATTAGCTGTTGGTCTATGCTGATGATGTGAATCTACTGGGTGATAATGTAGATACCATAAAGAAAAACACACAAACTTTAATTGACGCAAGTAAATAGGTTGGTCTAGAAGTAAACACAGAGAAAACTAAGTATATGTTGCTGTCTCGTCACCAGAATGCAGGACAAAATCATGACATAAAGAGAGGTAACAGATTTTTTGAAAATGTGGCACAGTTCAGATGTTTGGGAACAACGATAACAGATCTAAGCCTGATTCAGGAGGAAATTAAGAGGAGACTGAACTCGGGTAATGCTTGCTACCATTCAGTCCAGAACCTTTTGTCTTCTCGTCTGTTGTCCAAGAACATAAAGATTGGAATATACAAAACTATAACTTTGCCTGTGGTTCTGTATGGGTGTGAAACTTGGTCTCTGACATTAAGGGAGGAACATAGACTGATGGTGTTTGAGAACAGGGTGTTGAGGAGAATATTTGTACCGAAGAGAGATGAAGTGATAGGAGGTTGAAGAAAACTGCATAATGAGGAGCTTCATAACTTGTACTCTTCTCCAAGTATAATTAGAATGATCCAAGTCAAGAAGGATGAGGTGGGCAGGGCATGTAGCATGAATGGGGGAGACGAATATGTATAGGATATTGGTGGGGAAGCCAGAAGGAAAGAGACCACTGGGAAGAACAAGGCTTAGGTGGGTGGATCTTAGAGAGATAGGATGGGATGGCATGGATTGGATTGATCTGGCTCAGGATAGGGACCAGTGGAGGGCTCTTGTGAACACGGTAATGAAACTTCGGGTTCCATAAAATGCTGGGAAATTCTTGAGTAGCTGCAGAATTGGCGGCTCCTCCAGAAGGGCTCAGCTCCATGAGTGAGTAAGTAAGTAAGTAAGTAAGTAGTTCGATGGAGGAATATGTGAAGTTATAGATTCATTTCAGTCATTAAGCACAGTGACAACCGTACGTTTTGTAAGTTTCGAAGTTTTCCTTACGGTGATAGTTCATATTGTGGTCTTCTGGGTTTTTACCTGAGGATGGAGGCAGCATGTTTCTCCACAGCTTCGGTGTGTACCTACAAGACCACGGCGTCTCAACCCAGAAAATAACAATCGGAAGATTACGTTTTGCCGTATGTTATCTTTATTGGGAATCTCAGTAGTCTGAAATGGCTGGCTATTTCGTCGGTGATATTTCAACCAATCAGAGCGTTGCATTGCTCCCAGCACACTGAGTCACTATCCATCACGCTATCCACTGCTCCACCTGCGAAGATAGCCGCATTGTGAAAGTTGATTCTGACGGGAGCTGGTGTGTATTCGAAGTACGGCATACGTCACAGAAACCTTTTATTGTGCTATTATTGAAACCAAGTCCACAAAATCAACAATGGGAAAACAGGATAAGGTAAATACATTTTACTCTAAATGTGATTAATTTGTAGTTAGGAAATTGTGCAGTTGTTATCAACTTTAATTGTTTTCCCTTTGAAATACAGCGAAGAATGCAAGTCCGTTCATTGTTGGTTTAGGGGTAAAATTCGTGTGTGTGAAATCCGGAACTACGGAAGATCATGTTAATATTGATTCATTTAGCGTGAACACTAGTATTGTAGAAAACTTGTGCGTAGCTGTGTTTCCGTGCATTTCCTGTGGGCTACGTGGCAACTGGCTGCTGAAATATGACTGCTGCATAATGTATGTCAGCGCTTTTTCCATTCACTAAATCCACTATATACAGTTCGCTTCAGTGCAGGGATAAATACTGGCAAGGTCGGAAGTGGGAATTGGACTGAAATATAACGGCAGTACAGTCTCATGTAAAATGTTATGTACGTCTACCATGATTTGGGATCGAAATGTGTAAGATACTGACGAGTCTTAGCGTGTAAGGTAGTACGTGTTTCTTCTCATACTTGAAGCTGAAATATGTCTGTTCTGAGTACAGTTTTTAGTTAGTACTGAATGTAATACACATCGTAGACATGTAAGTCTACTAAATTTTATGAACGAACCTACGAACCCGGAATTTGTTTTGAGAGTCTGCCCTTGGAACTGACCTGCACTAGTCGAATACAGTCTCGCATGCCACATGGCCGGCTTATTTCATTCTTCTTGAATTAATCACATTATTTTTAAACTCGGTCGGACATAACGGCCCAGTGGGTAGGACTGCAGCTTCGAAATGCTGGTTAAAATCTCTGCCCCGAGACCTACATATTATGAAACAGCTTTCTTATGGTTTGTTTCAGTCCCGTAGGCACGTGCTGGGATAGAATTACGAATCACGACCCTTGCCTTCCACGTCCTTCCAAGTTATGCATTTAACATCTGTCGTTTGATTCCATATGTACTCTAATCGACAGAAAGTGTCGTAAAGACTAGGCTAACAAACGTATAATCAGGAAATCAATTGAGCCAATGTAGTTCAGTTTTCAGTGAAGCTTCCTGCGTACCGTAATATAATATCGTGTATGTTTGAATGAAAAGTATGATTAAAAGTAAGACTGTTCTTTACAATCATTTCAGACGTTACTGATTTAAGTTCAGTCTTCCACGGACGTGGGCCTCCTGCTATATACCAAGGACAAGGAATTCTATTTTAGTATCGTGCTGAGAAGTTTCTTCACAGAGTTTGAACTGTGTTACATCCTGCACAATTAGGAACTTATTGATTGTATGGAGTCGGGGTGATAACGGGTATCGTGGAAAGGAGAGTCGTTTTTAATCCAATTTCCTATTGAAATATGGATGTAAAGCATGGGTTTCAGTACCTTCTTACGAAGGGTTAAGTACAAGACTTTTCCTTAGTAATCTGAATTTTTATACACACTGTAGTAACAAGTCGGTGATGACGCTGTGGCCTGTTCTGGGCAAAGTCAAACGAGGCAAGCAATCGGAAGACTAGAGATGGCGTTGTGTAACATTGTCGTGACCCTTACCAAGCACGCTGCATGCCGCTATTGATCGTGTGAAATTATTAGTAATATATTGCTGAAGTGGCTGGTCCGGTCGTCATGCCGTGAACGGTATCGCTAGTTATACGTTTGCTTTACAAATTACTTCTGTGCTGTGCAGTATATCCCTGTTGAAATCAGGTGATAAAATTTATGGTCAAAAAGTAAAAACAAATTGCTGTGTCGTATCGCAACAAGTGCAGCGACCAGGTGGCAATGAACACCGGAGTTTGGGGGAGAGTAGCAAAATTTAGTTCGACTAGTTCAAGCAGTGAACTTGCATGGAAAATAACCCAGAAATTGGTACAGTATACGAGTAAACTGCCGATGATGATTATCATTGCTGTGGGCATGCATATTTGTGAACATGAGCTGATAATGGGGGAGGAGGATTTTTATAAAGGAAATGCTGATTTAGTAGAAGGGTACAGAGTGCAGGGGTGCTAGCACTGTTCCAAATGACTTTTACCTTCTATCGGAGCTCCACCATTTGAACATAATTAAGAACTACTAGATGAACGCTCATGTAGTTGATCCGTGATGAACACAGTACTTTTTTATAACCTTGTAAGTGTTTCATATGATTGCTAGACCTATTGTAAACCCTTTAAATATAACATAACCAGTGACTGAGTTCTTAACTTCTGATTAGTACATTGAAGTAAGAAGTAATGCTGCCAGAATTCACATGTAACAAGAAGGAAGATGATTGTGTTCCCTTGCTTCATCCCTGTTGTTTACCTTAAATTTAAAGTCACAAACGCGACTGAACGTTTGTTGGCCCACATTCAGGTTTAAAATGTGTGAGGTGAACATTATTGGAAATATAATAGTAGTATGTCTGTGGTGCATGTGTGTTTATTAGTCTAAGATCTGCATGAATTTAAAATAACATCACAGCGGCAAAAGGGACTAGGTCATCATTAACAGGCTTTAGGTTTGTCATTATTTTCTGGTAAAAAAAACTTGATGCACCTTCATCACATACCTGGAGGCATGAAGAATGAAATTACAGACTGGCATGGTAGCACTAATGGTGGTAATGTTTTAGTCATAATACAGTGAGGTTGTGTAAAGTAATGCCACAGATCTTTTGGCTGGTCAGTCAGAAAGGATGCACATTACATCATCTTCCATTTTGCACATTTCAGACCCATGGTCTCATTGGTGTGCCACACAGTTTGTCTCCGGTATTGCTGCAGTAAATAATTTAACAGTTCCAATCCCAAGCCTCTATTGTATTCAATCCGTTATGTTACTCCTTGTGTCGAAATGCCACACGAGAGTTATACATGAAACACGTGTTCATGTACAGTACTCATGTGAACAGTGACGAAAATATTCTGGCATAAATGTTAGTATGTCACACTTTCATATAAACTATACATAGAATTGTAAATAAATCCATACAGTCAGAGTTATTGATAAAAAAAATACGTGTAATACTGAATCAGAAGAATGCTGAGTGCTCACAGAAGAGAAATAGAATGAAATAGGTGCTTGGCATGTGCAGTCCTTTCAGAACTCCCGTAGATGTCTGAGGCCTAAAAATTCAGGTTTGCTCAATTTCTTTTAAATGAAGGTATGAATGTTATCTGTTTACAGAGATGCAAGGAATGCATGCAAAACAACAGAAACATTTCCAGCATTAGTTGTGATCAGGGAGGGTTTCATTTTTTATTTGTTTACCTGTAGTGCTGTTGGTTCCACAGTTGGTGCACAGGTTCACATTTGGAAAGACTTGAATGCAGGAATATTTGTCTCTTCTGCTGGATTGACCTAGTGATTATGGGACTATCTCCATGTGTCATAAAAGCAGAGAGCAAAGTTTGTGTGCCATTCTACATGAAATCTCTATTATATCATGTTCTTAATATGTGGGGCATGCGGTAGCGTAGTTGATTGAGGCACAATGCAACAAAGCTGGAAGGTTGCGGGGTCAAATCTCAATGAGGTCATTGGATTTTTTTTTTTAATTTACCTAATCCTTCCAGCCGTACTATGGCCCTGGGGTCCACTCAGCCCTTAACAGAAACGTGTACCAGGAATATTCTTGGAATGTTCTTGGGGGTAAAGGGCGGCAGGTGCTTTGGGCTGACAACCTTACCGCCGTATATGAGCCGATTGTCTAGAAAACGTGGGAACCTCAACATCTCACATCCCTATGGGCCTTCACGGCCTGTTACAGGGATACCGTTGCTATTTACTTTATGTTCTTAATGTGTAGTGGTTAATGGTTAGAAGAGTGCTTCATATTATGAAATTCTTAAGTTTAAATTCCAGTGAAGAGATTTTATATCCTAAGAGTTTATGGTTTTGTCAGTACTTCTAAGCAAATGCTGCTGGAGTACCTTGGAACAGATTATGATTGCTTCATTCTGCACCCATCCCATTCTCACATGAATGAGTACACTACCTCTGTACCTCTCTCCGTCCTACAGAACCAGATAAAGAAGAATGTATATCCTTTCTTCCTTAAAGTAACATGGTGGGGTGGAGGATAATTTTCATCTAAATATTGCGCAGCTATAACCAACCATCTTTGAGGGTACCTTGAGAAGGCAACCCTTAAAAAGAAAACGAAAAGAAAAAAAGAGAAAAGGTAAAGCTATCCTTGTAACAGGCCGTNGGTTAATGCACTAAAATCCGTCCAGCCTCACCGCCCCAAGTATTTCCAAGAATCCCTTTTGGAGGCGTATTAAGAATGCAAGGAGGGTGGCAACTGACAGACAAGTGCAAGGGATTTCTACCTTCAAAACTAGCTTGCAGCCCCCAGTCATTGTCTAATGGCCTGCTAGCAAACTTTCACTTTTATGACCACTGAGACAAGATACACCTTCCTACTAGTCCAGTAGTCTCTTGTACATTGTCATTCAGTTCATTTTCACACAGCGACAGGTGCTGATGTTACATTGTGATGAACGTATAAAGGTTATAATTAAACATTAAATTATCAACTACGAGTTTTCTTGTATATGTACAGTAACTTTTAAAGGGCAATGTCGTTTTCAAAAAATTCAAGTAGCAAAAAAGAAAAAAAGAACCGTTGAAAGTGAGCGCTGTGTTTTTCAAGAAAAATGGGAAATCGGTTATTTCTGTTGTGAAATAGAAGGTAAAATTACGTTTGATTTGTAGGAAAAATATAATGTTCCACTGTAGGTAATTATATTGAAATTATTCCTAAATAATAAGTAGAATTAAATTTCCTTGTATCAAAATCTAATGTATATTTCTATTTTGAAGTGTGGCCCTGGACTATTGTTTATAGGGCTGAGGTGGCCCTCTGTACAAGTTAAGTTTGACATGCCTGATCTAGACAGTCAGCTCAAAGGTGGCGGTAAGGTTGTCAGCCTTACGCTTTACTCCCCAGGAAAATTATTTAATTCATTCCTGGAACTCGTTTCTGTTAGAGGCTGAGTGAACCCCAGGGTCATAGTGCGGCTGGAAGGATCTGGTAAATTAAAAAAAAATCCAATGGAGAAGACAATTTCAGTATTTTCATTGTGATATACAGTGTGGCAGTTTTAGTTCCCATGGTTTATTGAAAATATGCTAGAAAGTTTCCAATGATGTCATGAACAATGTCACAGTCTAATGATGATGCAACATCAAAGATGTTTGAGACACAGTATTGTTGTGGTACTGCATTAGATCGTTATAGCTAAGATTATGTTACCAAATGGAGTAATTACAAGCCCAAGAGGCTGTAACTGGTGTTCATCAATTTCAACAGCCAAAGAATGTTGACAGGTTTTTAAGTTTGGAGATTGGTTTTGCTTAGTTGACTATTTTCTTACAGATGGCAAGCGACAGTGTGGAGATGCGAGAGATGGCTGCTCGTATTTGTCGTGATTATCTTCATGGCTCATGGAGAAAAATTACAACCAGGGATATTGTCCTCAAGCGCATTAGGTAAATTACAGTAGTGTTCTTAATTGTTTCGCCAAAATAATTATAAAGAATTTTCTAGACAGCTCTGCCATAAAGTGGTAGGACCTCTGCTTAATTCACTCAAGGTTATGTCCATGATAATATTAAATACTGAAAATAGTAATGGAATTTTGCAAAGGCTTTTGTGCTCATAAAGCTTTTATTATAGATGTGTGTTTCACATCGTTCATGTTCTGAGCTTTCTTTAGTGCTGTCAGTAATGATGTAGCATTAAATGTGGTAGGGAAGGGTGATCATGATTGCTGTTTTAGGATGAATTAATCGAGGCCAGTTTTAATGATACTGTCATACCATTAACACCGTAGGAATGAGTAACATTGTGTAGAGCCTTGCTGAAGAGAGCTGTTGCGCTGGCTTGTTTGCAGGGAAGAAATGGTTACAAAAGTAAACGTGTCCATGATACAGAGTGATATTCAGTGTATCAGAGGTCACAGCATGTTTAATGATGCAGCAATCTCACGTTATACATAAAAAATAAAATTCCACTTCTTGCTGTAATACAGAATTCAGTAGCACTGACAAGACTGATACGAAGATTTGTTATTTGTCTTACATTTGGAAAGTACAGAGTTCAAATATCAGACTGTATTAGCAGTATGAAAATATCACTTGGTATGTTTGTTGGCCATTCATTTGGGAGAAAATATTAAATTGATTTGATGGTTGCCTGATGTCACCAACCACTGTGCAAGCCAGTTGCAAGTGCCAGTGTATTTTGAATCACAATTATTTCAGCATGGCCTTCCTATGTGCCTCACATTCAGTTTTGGAAAATGCTCTGTATTATTTTATAGAACACAGCATTCATTCCAATTCCTTTTTGTTTAGCCTATTAATTTGGTTTCTAAAGTGCTCTTTGAACACAATTTTTTTTTTCTCCCACAATTTGCCAGATTATATACATACAACAGCATCAAGATCTATTGACCGCCAAGCTCTTGCTTTTAGAGAGTGGGATAGGAATTAGCTTTCCAGCTTGAGTGACACCACTGGACGTGAAAATTTCCACAAATACTTCTTAGGATATTAAACTGCTGTCATGATGTGCATCCAATCCTGACAAGGCCTTGAGCTACAGTAGTATCAAACAAGTGCTGAATGATATTTTCTTGTCCCATATAGCATTTTCAGTAGGAAATTGCTTGCACACAGTAACACAGGTATGGTGTTTTCCAACCCCACATCAGAGCCTCCTCCTATAAAAATGTGACTGGAAATAGAACAGTTTATAAGGTGCACATGATTTTGTCTGGCATATACAGGAACTGAGTATTTTATGTAGTAACAGCTGATCCACCACTCTGGTAACTGGGGCACCTGTGGCTGTAGTAATGAGACATAATTAGTTAGAAGTAGTATTAATCAGAATTGTAAACATAGGAGGAATGAAAAGAAGAGAGAAAGAAGCTGACATTTTGTTCGAAGGATACTGTGTTTATAATCTTCCAGTGGTGGCCTGAGCAACTGGTTGTATCACGTCTCTCTACCTGAGACGCGCCCTCCAAAATCGTCAGAACCATCTCAGGTTCTGCTGCGACTCTATGGGCAGGTCCATGGTGCAGAGAGAGCTCTTGAAGGCCTGATCACAGAATCTGTTATTTTCACTCTTCTGTCAGAAAGGCGGCTTGGCCCTAAACTGCATGGAGTTTTCCCTGGTGGACGTATTGAGGAATATATTCCAGTGAGTTTCTCTTAATTTGTAACATTGTAAATTACGTATGTGGCTTGCATATTTATCTGCATTTACTGCTAGTCTGAGATATCTTGGAATTTTCCTTAATCCTCATTTTATCACTATCATTACATAAAACTTTATCATCCTTAATCTCACAGCTGAGAATCAAAATTTCCATGATAAGCTGACTGCGTGGAACGTTAATATCTAATTTTGTTCTCCCATGTTTTGATATTTTGTCATGTACTGCCTTTTGTGATAGAGAATTGTCACTTTTTAGGGCCTCCTATTGGCAGAAAATGTTGTGAGACAGCTGCTAATCTTGCTCTAGAAATTCCATAGCCATGAAAACTCAAGACATACAGATTTTTATGTTAACTGAACTGTGTGATATCCAAAAGTAATGTGCAGTGTAAGTAACTAATAGTCCAGTAGTTAACTCTGACCTTTTTGCAGAGCTGTATATTTTTTAATATTTTCAGGCTCGTCCACTGAAGACCAAGGAACTTGGTGGTCCTCAGCTCAGTGTCTTGATTGCAGAGAAAATGGCTAACATCCATAAGATGAATGTCCCTATCAATAAAGAACCACGATGGTTATGGGACACTATTAGTGGGTAAGTTACATGTCAGGTACACATATTAGAAGAAAGGAAAGCAAGCATTCTAAAAGTTTACATAATATGTGATGCTGAGGCCATTGATACTAATTTAACCACCTCCCACTTTTTTCCAAGTTCAGATCAGAAATCTGCAGTCCTTCAAACTTCACTGCACAGTCCCACACAGAAGTTTCACAATCTGTTCATTTTCACACACATTCAAACACTACTTATTCTGGGTCCTGTAATGGGGGAATGAAAAGAAGTGTCAATGTTAGAATGTTTTCAGGAGAGTGAAAAGGATTGGTAATTTTTGTGATTAAGTAATATAAATTTTCTTCCATGCATCTGATCCAAAGCACGTGTCTTTTTATACATGACACCAGAAATGAATATTATAGTTTCTCTTAAGCATTATATCACATTTAAGCTCCAATCAGATAACATGCAGGGTGTGTCCAGGATTGGTTAGGACTTTTTCTTTTTTTTAATTTTGCACTGCAATGACATCTGTTGACGAGTTGTGGCGTTAAGATTCTAGAAGTTTCAGCTGTAGCTGTATAATTTCAAAGCACAAGCATCGCTGCATCATGTGTTCTGACCTTGAACGTAACAGTACTGTTCTGATGCTCGTCGGAAAATGGCGGTTGAACAGAGAGCCAACATCAAATTTTGTTTGAAGTTTGCCAAAACAGCCGGAGAAGCATACGAAATGATGAATAGTGTGTACGGTAGTGATTGTTTGAGTCGCTCGAACATTTTTCGATGGTATGCTGTATTTCGT